ATTAACCGGCGTATGTTTACAAATAGGTTAGGTGGAACGTCGCTTTTCAGCTGCGCAAGCGCGTTGTGCGATAACGCTGTGGAAAAGAGATAGCAGAACGAGTAAACCTACTCCGATTAAAAAACCGAACGAACTTATTTGCCAACCTAATATTAACGTTATAACATTATTACAAAAGAGTAGTAATAACGCATCTTAAAGAATAATTTAATATATGACATTGCTTACAAAATTTTCCGTATATTTTTTGAATGGAATGTTTAATTCAGGTTTTTTTCGGCTTCTCCATGTATTTCACTGCTTTATTATATCGATTATCATCAATGTAATCTGGCCAAAAGATTTCCATAAGGGTTTCATCCAACCAATTGCTTGAGATTAATTGAAGTCCATCTTTATATTCTATGACTGCATAGAAGGTCAAGTCGGCTATTCTGTTTAATGGCCATATAAATTATATTTTGGTATGTATTAATGGAAAAACTGCATATATATCATCACCATATGGTAATTTAACATATTTTCGAATTACATTTTTTAATGGCCATGATTTCAGATTTGGACGTAAGTATACAATATAAATTCCTAGCAACGAAGATGGACAAGGAACGTTGAATAAATTTTCTTTTTCCAAGAATTCATAACCAATAATTATAGGAATATTTCGCTTTGTGCAATATGATATATTTTCGATAGAAACAATGACACCGCTATTTAAACCACAGAAATTATCCGCAAGTGTCCCAGCTTTCAACATTATTCCATTATACTTTACAATTTTGGATTGTTGCAATAATGTATAAGTGGACCATCATGATGCAAAAACATTAAAGTCAGATGTGTCAGAACAGAATTTGATGAAACAGTTAATAGTAGTGATATATCTGAGTTGATTTCTTTTTCTATATATCTCCGTACAACTTGTTGCAGAGGTCTGTCAGCTTCTCTGATATATTTCTTTAATATTTGCATATAGTTTTCAAATTTTAATGCGCTGAAGTTATCCAAAGGTCCAAATTTTTTTACATCATCCACAAGATGAATAAGGCCGTGAACATTGTGTGAAACATTTTCAACGCCATACAGTTTGATAAATGTTTTGACAAAAAAAAGAATCAAATCTTGCGTATAATCGAGATATTCATGCAAGTCGTGTGAAGACAAGATCCTGATAATCACAGACAACGTCAAAAGATTGATGTAAATTATTATACATACATACAAACATGTATATATATATATATATATATATATATATATATATATATATATATATGTTTGTGTGAGTATATATAATAGTAGATACCTATATAATAGTAAGAAAAGCGATGTACAGAGAAGGAGAATTGGTTAAGAGTTTTAACTCTGGGCGAGTTTTTACTCTGTGCCTCGAAAATGCATTTAAATGAATCTGTTTTTCTGGAAAAGCAAATATTTTGTTTGTTGTACAGACATTAAACAAAAAAATTACATTTCAAAATATTGATACTATTTTTATAAAAGCTATAATATTATATTTATTATAAGTGTCCAAAAATTCTTTAGTATTTAGAAAACTACAAATTAAGTAACATTAAATGTTTACAAATGTTATTAAATGTTTATAATACTTGGAACATATTGCATTCTTAAAAGCAGAAAATAATTTTGATTTTTGATATAGACTTTGTCTCCATTAATACAAAAACATATTTAAATATATATATATATATATATATATATATATATATATATAAGGTGTAGTAAAAAGAAATCCATTATTTTTGCATGAAATTGAAGGTTTTATTTAGCATAGTTAGAATGATCCGATTTAGGTCAAATATGCACAGTTTTGTTCGATAACTTGTTGCCATTTTGAAGATAATTCCATTATGCCTCTCTGATAGAAACCCTTGTCCCTATTGGCAAAAAACTGGGACAGTCGATTTTCACAAGCTTCTCTTGAGGCGAATTTTTCACCAGCAAAATCATTCGCCATAGACAGGAACAGGTAGTAATCACTTGGTACCAGGCCCGGACTATAAGGTGGATGCATAAGAACCTCCCAACCAAGCTCCCGGAGCTTCTTGCGAGTCACTATCGATGTGTGTGGCCTGACGTTGTCCTGATGGAACACAATTCCTCTCCTATTGGCCAAAGCTGGCCGCTTCTGGGCGATTGATTCCTTCAGACGGTCCAATTGTTGACAGTACAGGTCCGAATTAAGAGTTTGGCCGTAGGGAAGCAGCTCATAGTGGATGATTCCCTGCCAATCCCACCAAACACACAGCAAAGTCTTCCTGACCGTCAATCCTGGCTTGGCCACCGTTTGCGCTGGCTCACGTTTCGACCACGACCGTTTTCGCTTGACGTTGTCGTAAGTGACCCACTTTTCATCACCAGTCACCATCCGCTGCAGAAATTGATCGATTTTGTTGCGATTCAGCAGCGATTCGCAGATGGAAATTCGGTCCATGAGGTTTTTTTGCGTTAACTCGTGTGGTACCCATACATCGAGCTTCTTTTTGTATCCAGCCTTATTCAAGTGGTTCCAAACGGCTTTTTGTGCAATGTTTAGCTCCTGGGCAATCGAAACAGTGCTTACATGACGGTCGGACTCGACGATTTTCATTATTTTATTGACATTTTCGACAATTGGCCTTCCAGAGCGTGGTGCATCTTTGACATCAAAATTACCGGAACGGAATCTACGAAACCAAAATTGCGCATAATTGGCTGTTACAGTATTAGGACCATAAACACTATTCACATTTTCAGCCGCCTGGTTTGCGTTTTCGTCTTTATAGAAGAAAAACTGTAAAATATGGCGTATTTTCTCTTTACTGGTATCCATCTTTGACGCGCGCTCAAATAATACTTTTTTTTTTTTTTTTTTGAGGCAGAGGAAATGCTTTACACACACCCCCGGGAAATCGGGACTTTCCCAGGGGTAGTGTGGGACTCTCCCCCTCCGGAAGTAACTGCCGGAGGGGGCCTACCCACTAAAACCTCTGCCGGGCCCCAAGCGGCCATAGTGAGAGCGTCCCGGGAACCGCTTGCGCATAACTTCCAGGACGCCGTCGGCCGCAGGGCGGGGTGATTGCTCCCGCCCCCTTCCTGGGTCGGTGGGGTTCCCCCCGACCCATTCGCCATCTTCTGTGGCCGGACGTGGGCCCCCCCGTCCGGCCATACCTCACTTGTTGGGGCTTTGCTGGCCGGGCCCGGTCCCGTCCGGACCCGGCCCGCCCCAACGCTCCCGACCGAGGTTTACGGGGGGCGGAGAGGTCAATTTAGCCCCTCCGCCCCACTCGGTCAGGAGTCGCCGTTCTCGGGGAGGGGGATGAGCGGCCTAAGAGCCCGCCCTTGCAGACCGGCCGCCCTGTCCCCCTCCTGGAGGCGCCTGGTGTGACTGCGTGTCACAGGGGGAGAGTCGCGCCTTGCTGCGCGCCTCCCCCGCCTATCCAGGCGCCCCCTATCTCCCCCCGGCCGGGCCCTCCGTTGATCAGGAGGACCCGGCAGTGTTGGGGGCGGGCGGGGAGGGAATGCCAGTTGTGACATCCCCGCCCCGCCCGCGGGTGCGCCGTCCTTCCATGCCGCGTTGGTGCGCGGGTATGCGAGGCGCCCCCCTCCTGCGTCGTCGGCGCCTCGCTCCATCCCCAGGGGCTGCTTCGCCCCTGCGGACTCTCTCGTCCGCCTCCTTCTGCGACATGACTGTGTCGCAGAAGGAGGTGACGGCGGACCAGCCCTCGTCTCCCCCAAGCATGGCCCTGATAAGGGCCGGGGGAGAGAGATCCGCC